AGATCGGATCTCAACGGCCTGGCAGTTTCCGAGCGGGGACTGTAAACATGCGCACCTCCCGTCCAATGAGATGCGTCGAATTAAAAAAAAACGAAGTTGGACTAACTTGGACATGATAGCTCGTGGCTTTGCGTGGGCGGGAAGTCAGGACTTAATGGGCTTTAACGGGGGGGGTTGATTTCCAGACTTCGTTTTTTTTTTTTTTTTGGCTCTGAGAAATAGAACTTGAAATGTGAAATTCGAATATTGTGGTGCATCTGACAGGAATGCTTCCGCGTCTGTCAGATGGCCTTTTAGAGGCAGAACACTTCCGCGTCTGTCGGATGGCCTTTTAGAGGCATCATGAGATACATGGGGATGAATGTATCCCTATAGCCATTACTTGTTCATCCTCATGAATGTGTTCGTGGACACATTTTATTGTCACGGTACATCACGATGAAGACTTACGTGAAGGAGATCGTACCAACCTATAAATTAGGGTGCACAGGTGTTCTTCATAGTTTCATGTGCTATTTCAATTCATTTTAAATCAGAAAACGATCCATTCATGCAAATAAAAAATCACTTTGTATTTTCCAAAAAAACATAAAACTGTGTCACACGTCATAGAATACTACGCTAGTGGGTCCAGGCCCCTGAGGCAAAAGTTTTCCCCATATTGTTCTACTTTTTTTTTTTTTTTTTTTYTTTTTTTGCTAGAACCTTCGTTGTCCCTTGCAAGGCCGGGTTGCCCACACAAACAAGGTGACCCGGGCGGCCCGGCTGATAGCCTAGCTTTCAATTTTAAACCACCATCATTTCACACACGATCCCTACCGTCTTCCCCCGAATACAACAAAACAAACATTACCGTCCTTATCGCTGTATTTAGACTGAAAGATGGCTCATATACAGTTATATACCAACTGTACATTGTATTCGGGGGAAGAAGGTTAATTGACAGAGCCACCACTAAATTGACAAAGCTACATGCCAAAGCACACTATGCTCTAATGCTTTTTTTTTTTTTTTTTGTGAAGTGATCTTCTGTATTCACTACCGCCACAGTTTCAAATCATCACAGCGTTCCTGCGTAAATTGCTAAGTGCCCAACTTCGCTCTCGACGAAACGGTGTTTGGAGCACTAACGAATGTGCCTTGCATACTATGCTTGGTGTTGATTTTCCATAGCAACGTTTTTCTATTGCTGTCGATTGCAACAGCTACTTCGCCTACACTTTTATTCCAATGTTTTTTTTTTTACTTTTTTCAAGTTTTTCATTGTTGTTGATTTCAACTGCTACTTCGCCTACTTTTATTGCAATGTTTTTTTTTTTTTGGTGTTGATTTGAACCGCTACTTCGCCTCCTTTTATTGCAATGTTGATTTAAATTTCAAACCGCTACTTTTACTCAGTGTTGATGTACACCGTCGCTTTGCCTACTTCTATTGCAACGCTGATTTTTATTTTTTTTTTACCGTGACTTTGGGTTCTTTCAATCGTGTCGATATAAAACTTCGCTTTGCGTACTTTTAACTCTTGTTGATGTAGACCGCCGCCTTGCCTACTTGTATACGTGTTAACTTAAACTGTCACTTTGCACGACATTACTTGTGGACGACACCAGACATCCTCGTCTTTGCCTGAGGCTATAGACGACAGATCATAGTGGAGCGTACACTGCTGGCTGAACGCTAATCGGCTGCGGGGTGCAGGCATGCATTTTTAGTCTCGTACACGCGGGTGAAAACCCGCACAACCTTCTCGCCGCTGGCTGGAAAGCGGATGGTGAAAAGGTCACCCAGACCACCCGTGCTAACAATGCCTTCCTCAGTTTTCTCCCGTAGACGTGGAGGCTGCACATTTGATATACAAGTCTGGCTGCGGCTGCGGTGGATATACCTCCTGTACTCCACGAGAAATTTCCCTCCAGCGCCCATCCAAGATCGGTGCTTGATCCGTACTGCCCCAAAGCAAGAAAAAAAGTTTTGGACCCCATTTTCTTCTAGTGGAACTCGTAAAAATCGCTTTGGTTGGGGGGGGGGGAGGGGGGGGGGGGGGGGGGGGGGGGGGGGGGGGGGGGGGGGGGGAGGGCGGAGGCGGGGGGGAGGAGGGCGGAGGCGGCTTATTTGACTCGTACGACTGAGGTCATCCACTCAGGTCATCCACTCTCCCCCTTGCGCATGGCATTGGTGGACGCCTTCCCCGGAGTTATATGCTATACGGGTCAGTTGGAGAAGATATATCACTGACCTTTCCTTATTTTGCAGCTGCCCTTACGGCCCAAGAAATGTCAGAAGTGTCTTTTCTGCCCGAACACAATCCACAATCAGCGAAGCCATCCCCAACCCTTGGGTGGGGCAGAAAGCGGAGAAAGCACATACGGGTAGGCGATAACAGATCAATGGCATAATCTGCAACTGCGTGCCTCTTCTTTTTGTGTGTCGACAAGGTACAGTCTACACCTAGCTCAGCGGTATGCCACAACACAGCATGAGGAGACTGTTCTTTCATTCCGCCGACAAGTTAAGACCACCAGTACCTTTCCCAACCTTTTCTTCAAAGCCGCAGCTCGCTCGCTGCCGCAACTTCCAGGGCTCGACCTGCGAAGCAAAGTGGCCGCTGCTGCCCCACCCATAAGGAGATCAATGCCGTTCATTCTATTTTTGGTTTGCACGGCGTTTCCAGCCCTGGAGATAACTGCCTCTGAAATACTGGTGGTTTGAGCTACTGACTACCTAAATAATAATAATAATAATAATAATAATAATAATAAAATTAAATAAAACTTCCCACTTGATGCACATGGGTTAGCAAATAGCATCCAGTGGAATGCCATAAGAACTGCCGGAGACTTTGGGTGCAGAGTGGTGAAGCCACCGCCGCAAGTACATTTCCCAGCCATTTTGACAGAGTCATAGCGTGGATGCTGCCGTGAATCTCCTGAAGAATCGCGGCACCGTTTTGCTGGACATCCTTGCAGGCAAAACAGGCCTCGCATGCCACAACTAGTACGCCATGGGCTACTACGCGAGCTCGTGTGTCGGCCCGTGTCATTCTGTGCCCGCAGCCACACTGGTATTCTGTCCTGTGCTGTTGCTGTTCTGTCCTCGACAATCTGGAAAAAGCCGCCAGCTGCCCGTGATCACGCCTACCACCCCACACCGTGAACAGCCAAGATAATGCGTCGAATCACCATTTGAAATAACAACGCGTAGCACAGTCTCGTAGCACATCTATGGGAGTACAGTGAGTCCCATAGGTTTTCGAATCCCGTCACCACGAGTCACAAATCAGAGCTGGTGCAAAGCTACCGCATTTTCGAGGCATCGGGGAGAGCGGTGATTTCATACAAGGTCTTGGGCACAAAGTAGCACATTTTGGATGCGGGGAGAAGCGCGGTGGTTTAAGCCACCAGTACATGGCCCCAGCCGAGGTGAGAATCACCATTGAGCCGCTCCTGAAACTTCGGAGGCTTGGGACAGGCCATCCCAAGAGGGGTGGGAAAAAAAAAAGGTCCCATACCCCTGTCCCAGCCGAGGGTGATACCAGGCGCAGCACCGAACAGAACAGAAAAAAAAAAAACTCCACCCGCCTCGAGACAGTCACTGTCCAAGTCCCCGCAGCTTTTGAAGAGCCTCATTTGTGATTCTCCAGAGGCACCGGTGGTTTAAGAAATAACATCCTCATCTGGGGGATAGACATATTTCAATTTAAGAGATTGCCTCCCCCAACAACTGGTGTGTTTACACGACCAGAACTCGGCCCAGCTATCGGTCAGCTGTGCAAAAAAAAAAAAAGAGTTGAAAGCACTAGAAACGTTTCTAGTTGGATGAATTTGGTCGCTCCTGTAGTAGCCCGTACGTTTCCTGAAATCGCCGTGGCTCGTTACCTCGCACGACTTCAGGAAGCAGGCACTGGTGGTTTGTACATACTTCGATTTAAGAGATTGCTTTCCCCAACAACTGTGTTTAAGCCACCAGTACTTCCTCAAGTTGCGGCCGTTAACAGCCCAAGATTTTAGGAAATGTACCGGTCGCTACAAGAAATGTTTCTACTCCATTGTTTTCCCGCGGCCAATAGCTGGCCCAAGTACTGGTGGTTTACGGATAAACACAACTGTCGGATAGACACAAATAGACCGCCAGTACATGGCCCCAGGCTTGCTGAAAATGTTTCATCGCCCAGTACGAAAAAGTTGGCGCCGAGGCCCCGTTCATACATTACATCGGCGGACGACATCACGTTTCGGCCTCTGGCAGGAGGCCACAGCCGATGTGAGGCGGCGTGTATTGGCAGTTAAAGAGAGAAACACACTACCTTCACATACTTCATGAAGTCTAATGTGTTATTGTCTGTCGGCCTATTGGAGGACAGACACACTACCTTCACACACTTCATGAAGGCTGTTGTGTTATTGTCCGTCCGCCGATTGGAGGACAGATGCATCTGTTAAACCACCAGTACATCTGGAAGAATCACAGATGAGCCTCTCCGAAAAGTTTGGGGACTCAGGACAGGGCCCACCCGGGGTGGCGGGGCAGAACTTTCTTTTTTTTGTTCAGTGCTGTACCTGGTCCCACCCCAAGACACAATACAAATTCCTTTTTCGTCCCCCGCCCTTCGGAGGCCCTGTCCTGACCCTCCGAAATTTTAGGAGAGGCTGACTCCCGATTCTCAACTTGGCGGCGGCCATGTGCTGGTGGTTTAAACCATCAGCACCTCCGAGCCTCTTTTACCCAACGCGGGGATTTGCACTGCACACCAAGAAGACCAACCTCCAGAGGCGCACCTTTTTTCTTTTTTGGCTTGCCGCGCCAGCCAGTTCTCGTACGCTGGCACACTATTCACCCAAAGAAACCAGATTCTCCAGTTGGCCTGGACAACGTAGTAGTGATTTAACTTACGTCATGCAGAGGTGAAGAACACACAATAACATATACTTCATCCAGCATTGAGACATGGAACCTCCTGGACTTTTGGGGAGGGGGAAGGAGGGGGGAGGAAGCTCCTTACTTCACAATGTTTACATTCATTCAGGGATGGGGGAAGAGGGGGGAGAGGGGGGGGCGAGAACCATGCAACAAGAGAGGAGTGAAACACGAGTGCTAAAATGGTTAAATCACATAGACCATTATGGTCAAAACCAAACCACATTCTCTCTCTCTCTCTCTCTCTCTCTCTCTCTCTCTCTCTCTCTCTCTCTCTCTCTCTCCACAAAAAGAATCCACCATCATCCGCCCTCTCACTGACGGCATCAGTCCCCTCACCTCGGTGGACGAAAGAAAGCCCACAGTATTCTAGAAGAGCTCTCAAGACAACAAACTAAGTGGACAAGCAAAACTATAAACTTGCACAGCAGCGAGTGGCACGGTCGAGGCCTTGCTGACGACAGGCACAAAACAGCCTCTCTGGAACCATAACTCAGGTGGATCTTGCACACTCGCTCGCTCGCACGCTCTCTAGCTCGCTCATGACATGACAGGGAACAGCCGTGCAACCTCTCTTAGAGAGATACTATCAGACTGAACCTTTCTCAGCGACGGGTTGTTGTCTTCATTGTCTGGCAGAACCACCATCTGCAATATTGCCAATTAAAGATGCCAATTAAACCCCATTCCCAATTTACCCAAAGCAGGTTCCCCATCCACCCCCCGCCCCCCCCCAACCCCCCCACACAAACAGGCACACATGCATACACACACGCATCCACACACCCACGCCCCCCGCCCCCTAATCCACACACACACACACACACACACACACACACACACACACACACACACACACACACACACATGCAGAGGGAAGAATAAAAGGGTAATGAACATGTACATAGATGCAATGTCATACCATGAGTGAATTGATACAAAAACTGTCAAAAAGGTAGATTGGCTCTTGAGATGGAAATGTTCAGTACTTCCACTATTCCGCTCATACAACTTACGGAGCATTAAATTCGCTGAAGCGAAAAAAAATCAAACATAAAACACAGTAAGTGGACCTAGCTCCACCATTCAGCAAATGTACAAAATGAGAGTAAATCTTCCACTAGGAACATGGAAAGGCACAGCACCATATTTTTTGTGTCTTTTGTGCATGTGGTGAGTAGTGGAGGGAGGCCAATTGTCATGCACTCTCAAGTTCAAGGTCACCTTCAACTCCTTTGCGATGATGCACTTCAAGAAAAGTTTGAAGTTTGACACTGCAGACCACATAGATACCAAACCCCCTACATGCCTCCTTTTCTCCATCTGTTCCCCCCACCCTTCTCTCTCTCTCTCTCCCTCTCTCTCTAAGAAAAGTTTGAAGTTTGACACTGCAGACATAGATACCAAACCCCCTACATGCCTCCTTTTCTCCATCTGTTCCCCCCACCCTTCTCTCTCTCTCTCTCNCTCTCTCTCTCTCTCTCTCTCTCTCTCTGTGTGTGTGTGTGTGTGTGTGTGTGTGTGTGTGTGTGTGTGTGTGTTTGTGTGTGTGTGTGTGTGTGTGTGTGTGTGTGTGTGTGTGCGGGCATATGCGCGCTATGAGAGCACCAATCGGACCCCCCCTCCCCCCACCTCAACACAAACACTCACACAAACACACAGAGAGAAAGCAGAAGCAGTTCTGGATGTACACGGCCCCCAAAGTTTCATGAACCTGTAGGAGGCTTCCACATTGTGCCAAGCTAACAGAGAAGAATAAGAAATATAACTGCGCATCCTTTTTCTGCGACTCCTAGTCGTTGCCTTTTCAACAAACAACATTAGCATTTGCTCTTTCTTTTGTAATGAGACCAACACTAGCATCTGTAAATGAGAGAGAAAGGGTCAAAAAAAAAAAAAGGTTAAAGACACACATACCTGCCGTCCTTCTGAGATTGTCTCCACTTCCCATCCACACTTCTGGCATTGCATTGCCAAAAATTTGTCCAGAGATGGCCCATCGATGTTCACCGCCTGCCATTGAAAGCAAAAGAGGAAAAAAAGTCCATCCATCAGCATCCCAAGTGCAAAGAAAAGGTAGGTACCAACAGGCTTAGCTCAGTGAATTTGTCCAGAGATGATGCATCGATGTTCACCGCCTGGCACTGAAAGCAAAAAAGGAAAAAAGTCCATCCATCAGCATCCCAAGTGCAAAGAAAAGGTAGGTACCAACACAGACCTAGCTCAGTGGGTACACCCATCAACCGTTGAAATACAGACCTGAGTTCGAATCCGGCTGTGACCAGATGAACTTTCAATGCTGATATCGCAAGGCCGTTTCCCTTTTCCCTTCCGTCTTTTTTCTAATGCAAAAAAAGGGAACTTTTAAACCACCAGTCCCTCACCCAGGCAAACTTGAGAATCAAAAAGGCGACATTTCGATTCCAAGTTCTTCGGACAAATAGCGCTACTAGACCAAATTGGCTTCCGCCACCAGACAAAGACAAATCATTTAACCAACTGACCTAGCTCAGTTGGTACACCCCCCCTGGACTGAACTGTTGAAATACAGACCAGGTGCTGAGTTCGAACTCCACTGGAAGCAGACGAGTGACATACTACACTTCTGAATTAACTCGGACCAGTCAGTTCTATGATCATACCTCAAGGTTGGTCGCCCTTTCAAGAAAAAAAAAGAAAAAAGGCATTCATGCAGTCAGGAGCGCAAAACGAAACAAGGCAACGCATGTCTCCCTCCGGGCTTCCTTTCTCAGCCGAACCAAGGGCATTCTCAACACTACGATTTTGCAGGACGTCTCTAGCCTGCTTTGTGGCCAGATTCAGTTGAGAAAAGTGTTTTCTCTTAGTGTTAGGGTGTTCTCATAGGATCACCGTCGCTCCTCTTTTTTCCATAAGAGGTTCGAACAAATGCAGTGCGTTTTTCACGAGCAGACAAATGACAATATTAAATATTTTCACAGTTTTCCTGTTGCTCTCATCAGGTTACGATGTCAAAATCACTTTGCTGAGCGAACAACAAAAACGTGCTGCATTTTTTGTCTGTGTTCATCCATATTCAAACACAGAAAAAAGGGTTAACTTAGGCAGCCGAACGGAGAACCATCTCTGACCCATACTGTACATTTGAATGTTGCTACCGTCATCCCTCCCTCGACACAATGCACCCTGATCATGAATGCATACAAGCTATCTTTCGGGCCCGATACAGTCACGACGAGGGGGAGGGGGCGGGGGGGTGTTCAAGGGAAGACAGACAGTACTGTGGAAACTTTACAGCCCTGCTGGATCTTGCCCCTCCCACAGCCACTCACACAGTACACAATGAGTTACGTAACATGCAATGCAAGAGAGGACGGATGTACAGACGGGCGGGCGGGGGGGCTGGCAGACGGTGGACAGACGGGCGGACACACCACCGACCAAGCCCTTCACACAGCCAGTTGCACAGTACACAATGAGTCATGAGATATGCAATGCAAGCGGGGAGTGCACAGAGAGAGAGAGAGAGACTCACCTTTATAAGATATGCAATGCAAGTGTGGAGGGGAGAGAGAGAGAGAGAGGGAGGGAGGGAGGGAGGGACTCACCTCTGCAAGGATATGTCGTGGAACCCGTTTACACGTAATCGACAGAACATGAATCGCGTATTCCTGAATAGCTTGCTCGAACCCTGGGTATGCGCATAGCAGTGAGGGATAAAAAGGCAACGGAAAGCACAGATATTATTATTCATTGAAATTGAAAAGTTGCAACCCTGTTGACGAACGAAAAGCAAATGAAGAGGCCGGCAATTTGAATGCTAAACTCAACAAGGGCATATTGCTTTAAGCCTCACCAGTACACCCGAGGCTGGCAGACTTGCACTGCGCGCCAAGCTCTGCTGAAATGCCAGTGGAAGTTTTTCCATTTTTGGGTTGGGGCCGCCAGGCGCCAGCCATTGTGGTCCGGTAGCCCCAACCCTCCGAAACTTTCAGAGTGCGCCACGAGTTTTTTTGAAGCTAGCTAGCTGGGGCCATGCGCTGGCGATAAAATCTTGTACACTTATTTTACAAGCTGGAGCCTCGGGTAAAACAAGTGGCAGTAAAACAAGTGGCAGTAAAACAAGTGGCGGTAAAACAAGTGGCGGTAAAACAAGTGGCGGTAAAACAAGTGGCGGTAAATAAGTGGCCGTAAAACAAGTGGTGGTAAAATAAGTGGCGGTAAAACAAGTGGTGGTAAAATAAGTGGCGGTAAAATAAGTGGCGGTAAAATAAGTGGCGGTAAAATAAGTGTGCACTATGCACCCCAGGCAAATCTTGTCGGTGAAAAATATATCCCACAAGTTTCGAAGCAACAGTTCTCTCAGACCAAAATGAGCCGGCGTTGCTTTGCACCCTTAGGGTTCATTTTCGTTGCTGCGAATCTTTTTTTTTTTTTTGCCAAAACAAAGACAAATCGAGGCTGTGGAGGTCCATTTTCATTGCTGGGAATCTTTTTTTTTTTTTTGGCCGGGGACCAGAGGGGTAGGGGGAGTCCACAACACGAAAAAGAGGCTTTGAGGTAGGGGTCGGTTTAAAACAACAACAACAACAACAACAACAACAACAACAACAACAACAGGAGGCGAGGAACAGCAAACGAACCAACTCAACGAGAGGTACAAGAATCTGGGCGTGTTTTAGGCAGAGATGCAGAAAAGGAGTTCAATCTTGATTTTCTGCACTTGTCCACAAACGCGGCCAAATAAAGGCCGTTCAATCCATTCCTGTTTGCTAGTGGCACCTCGCCCCAGTTCTCTGAATGTTCGGCTCGACAAAAATCACCAAGAGAAATTTGAAGAAAAAATCACAATCGTACAGGTCTCCCCGACACAAATCCTTTAAATCGTACGGCTCGACAAAAATCACAAAGAGGTAGATTTACTATATCCGTTAAAATTGGAACGATAAAGATAAGACTAGCATGGTCCCTGCACAAGGATAACGCACATAAATGGAAAAAATGCCAAAATGGTGCGATTAAATTAAAAAAAAGAGGAAAAAGTAAAGAGGGAAGGAACAAAAAAAGACGGTAAAGAAAAAAAAAAAAAAAAAAAGAGAAGAGAACGGAATACTTGCTGCTTAGTGGTTAATGGATTTCCAATTTATGAGTTTTATAAGTATAAAAATTAATAAAATCATATTAAAATGATATTAAAAATCTGTTGCAGGAGAACTCACACGTCGAATTGAATATAGAACTCAATATTGTTCCTTTGCCTTAAAATCGTAGTACGTGCATCTAGAGGGGCAAGAATACAAGAGGGAATTCGAACCGCCAATCGACGTGGACCGAAGTAGTGCTCTTACGGCGTATACTGCTAACAGCACTACTTAGGTTTGCGCCGAAACTGGTGGTTCACTGGTTAGTGCCCTTACCCGTATATATATATGGGGGGGTCAAATTTTATGGGGGGGTGGGGTTTTTTTTTTTTTTTTGCCAGTTTTTGTTTTGGTTTAAGGTTGCTGTGTGGCAAATTTGGTATTATTTGGGCCACTTGGAATTTCCTCTCATGAGATTTCTGAAACTTCTCAAGATTTCAGAGATTGGAATGTCGGCAAAATTTCACGAAAGTGCACTTCTGCCTTGCTGTTCTATAGTTTTTAAAAGTTTTTTTCATTTTTTTCCCGCTGTAAGTACTAAGTAGTCAGTATGATCTCCACTGTATGAATTGGTGTCAAGTTTGGTTAAAATGACCCCCCTTGGGTTTTTTTATAAATGGCATGCCAAGTTGTCTGACAATTGAGGCCTCCGTTAACCGCCTCTCCTGGGGATGGAATGCGTGTGTGTGTGTGTGTGTGTGTGTGTGTGAAGAGAGTGTGTGTGTGTGCGTGTGTGTGTGTACATGTGTGTTGTGCAAGTCCTTTTCCACCCAAATGAGCAGATCCAAAATTGAAGCAGCTTAAGGGCATCACCACACCACTCCCGAAATATGCAAAATGAGAATGAACTTCCCCCAACAACATGGCCAGACAGATGCACCCGCGACAATTTTGTCTTTTTCACATTTCGAGAGTGGCGTGGCGAGGCCCTAAACCTGTACACACAGGCCTGGTGCTGTGCACCAAGCTTTGCCGAGCGGCTAGCGACGGTGCACTTTTCTTCTCTTCTTTTTTGCCCGATCCTGCCAGGCATTCTTGGTCCTGTAGGTGATGAAAGATTGTTCTACGACACTTGGATCGCGAACTGGTGGTCTAAAGTGTATGTGATGGTGTGTGCGATGAGGTGTGTCGTCGTGTGTCATCGTGTGCCATCGTGTGCCGTCTTTGCTAGAGACAACCCCACAAGAAAAGCATGACTGTGCCGAACAGACTGTTTCGTCGGACTTTCACAGACTCATCAGGAGGTTGAACCTGGACAGACAGTCTGCCCAGGATGCATCTGACTGATGGAGAAGGACACACCACCTCACCCAGAGTTAGCGATACCCATCCTTGAGAGAGAAAAGTGGTCGGCTTTACTCACACCAACCCTGCAATCCTAGCACAGGCTGCCGTTCCAAACCCCTGACAAGGATAGTGGTAAATCTGAGAGACTACTAGTAGTCTGTCAAAGCCATAAAGCCCACTCTACACACCCACTCAGCCATCAAACTGCTTATTAGTTTCTTGATTGACCTCCTGTGAACTTCGCTGCCCCGTTTTGTCCCCAAACGCATTTTCAAAAACACCACACTCCAAAAATGACCCCTTTAAAAACTCACCTGGGACCACCTCCAACAGATCCCGACTCCTCATTGCCATTGCCCAAAACTCCCTGAAGTTCGCAGTCTGCTCACAGCGAAACACACACACACACACACACACACACACACACACACACACACACACACATACACACACACACACATGGACGTGCACATACACCAAGACGAAGCATATGCGATCAACAATCCGCGAAGCGGGAAACTGAGGAAAACATTACAGAAAGAAAGAATCATAAATAAATGTGAAAGAGGTGAACGACTGCAGCCTAGTTTCGTTTATTTCCTTTTTCATTTTTCAAAGCAAGAAACGAATACCTCCTGCCCCCCGGACTAGAAAGGAGCCAGGACCATAAGGCCCCCTGTTTTGCAACATACATAAATAACTAACTGAATAAATTTGAAACATCTCAACAATCCATAGATTCCATACTGAGCATCCAATGTTTGCTTACCTCGAAAAGCAAAACCACCCCCGCTCCCCAAGCAGTCAGACTTTTCATTTTTTTTTTACAGCTCAGCCTGCATGGCCCGAGACACCATTCGCAGGGGCTTTCAACTTTCAAAGAGAGAGACAGACAGAAGGAACGACACAGACACAACGACACAAAGACCAAGAGAGAGAGAGAGAGAGAGAGAGAGAGACAGAGAGAAGCACACCACTAACAGAAGGATCAATCTTCTGCTCTAACCAACTGAGCTACGTAAACAAAGAGAGAGAGAGAGAGGGAAAGAAAGACAAAGAGAAAGAAAAATAAAGAGAGAAAGAGAAGAGAAACAGAAAGAAAGAAAGCAGAAGAGAGAATGCGGGAAAGCGAGAAAGGAAGAGAGGAAAGAAGGAGAGAAAAGCAAAGACATAACCATCCATGCAACTGCAAACCAATTTACATCCATTCAAAACAGCAGAAAAATGTCTGAAGAACGGGAAAAATCTTTCACAGGAAAAAAAGAGGCGAAATATTATTACCTCAAGCAAGTGTGAAAGTTCGGTGAACGTGAAGAACGGCTCCTCAATTTGCTGTGAAAGACTTTCTGTCAAGGAGAAACGCACAGCCACACAACCACCTCTCCTCCTTTCTCCACCTCTTCCCCTTTTCTTCACCTCCCCCCTCCTCTCCATCTCCCATCTCTCAGCTCCTCCCCCCCCCCCCCCCCCCCTTTTTCACCGACCCCTTTCTTCCTTGTAACACCTGGGAGCTACCACAGTCGCGAAAGTGCGCCCGCCCGCGCACCCAAGCAGCTGGGCCCAAACGCAGAGCCACACAACTCACTATTTCCTCCACACCTCCCCTGCTTTCTCCACCTCTTTCTCTTTTCACCCCCCCCCTCCCTCCCTCCCCCCCCTCTTTTTCTGCATCTCCCACCTCCACCCAACCCCTCCCGACCCCTTTCTTCCTTTTCACTTCTGGGCGACCAGAGTCGCACAAGTGTGTGCCTGCACACCCAAACAGCTTGGGAGCCCGGCTGGGCCCAGACAGGCCAGACCCCGTCCGCTTGGGACCCCGGCAGACAACGAATGGGTCAAAAAATATTTAAGCAAAAAAAAAAAAAAAAAAAAAGAAGCTTCCGGCCAAATCTGCGCGTCATCAAACCATTCATAATCTAGCGTTGTGTTTGAATTTGGGGATGATTAGACTTATAGGGGGTCTGCACACCATAAATGAAGTTTTAAGGGGTTTATAAACAAGGGCCTTAAAGGGAGCACTGCTGCTGCTGCTGCACCAACATTCAATGCCACCTTGTATCCGATCTCAGTCACACTGCGCATAGACCCATTTTGGAGAAGGATACCAGTTTCTCTGGAATCAAGTACATGCACAGGGAGAAGTCCATCGACGGCATCGCCATCAATGCCTGCAAAAAAAAAAAAAGAAAACACGACAGGAAACATTTCAAAAATCATGCTGCAAGCGTTTCTTTCCCTTTTGCTCTTTTTTTTCCTTCTTTTCAGCTGGCTCTTCTTTCCCAACCGAACCAATCAGAAAGCATCCAAAATAGGCAACTCGAATGATAATCACGTAGAGGAATACCAACAACCAACAGTCCTGCTGACAAGAAGCAAACAAAACACCCACCCCATGCACATTTATTATGTTTGAGAGTAGGGGTTAGAGAGGGAGAGAGGGAGAGAGGGAGAGAGGGAGAGAAGGACAGTGGGAGAGGGAGGGTCAGAGAAAGAGGGAGAGAGTGTGAGAAAGGGAAAGAGGAGGGGGGGGGGCGGGGGCGGACAAGCAGCAAAGATCAACGAGTCTCCAGACAAGAAGCAAACAACATCTCAACTCATGCTATACATAGTGTCTCCCTCCCCATGCACATTTATTATCTCCCAAAGTAGAGGGAGAGGGAGGGAAATAGAGAGGGAGAGAGAGGGAGAAAGAGGGAGAGAGACGGAGAGAAGGGAGAGAGAGGGAGTGGCGGACAAGTTGCAAAGATCAACGATTCTGCAAACAAGCAAACAAGATCGGAACGCATGCTATGTGTAACGTCTCCCTCCCCCCCCATGCACATTTATTATGTCCCACAACAGGGGGAGAGAGGAGGGGGGGGGGGGGGGGGGAAGAAGGGGGGGATGGGCGGGGAACTGACCTTGGTGAGAATTCTCGACATGATTGTAATGTTAACCTTCTCGGGTTCAAACTGAAACAAAGCCCAAGAAAAAAAACAGATACAGGGAAGTCATGAAGGAGAAAACCACGTGTGTGACATTGACCATGTCCCTGATACAGTGACCATGTCACATAAAGAGCACATCACTTACCATGTCACACATACAGTTACCAACCATGTCACACACACACACAATTACCACGGCACTCGCTCATGTGCTCTTTACGTCACACATAAAGCAACCATGTCACACACATAGTTACCATATCACACACATAGTTACCTTGTCACACACATAGTTACCTTGTCACACACATAGTTACCATGTCACACATACAGTTACTATGTCACACATACAGTTACCATGTCACACATACAGTTACCATGTCATTCGCTGCTGTGCTCTTTATGTCACGCATACAGTTACCATGTCACTCGCTAATGTGCTCTTTCTTTATGTCACACATACAGTTACCATGTCCCTCGCTGATGTGCTCTTTATGTCACACATAGTTGCCATGTCACATATAGAGGGCATCAGCGAGTGAAAGAACGTCGAACACCACACAGGCGTTAGAGCAGGCGGGAGGGAGAGAGGTGAATGCAGGGAAGACAGAGAGAGAACGGGACGAAAAAGAAAAAGATGACACTGTAACAAGTAAAATACACATGGATAAATCCTACCGTCTTCCCTCGAATAGAACGCAACGGTCACTACTGCTGTATCTAGACTGAATGTTGCGAGAAATACATAACAGTTATAATGACCATATATGTTGCATTCGAGGGAAGATGAAGATAGGGCAGCACGAATTCTTCTCCGCTTCTCTGCAAAAATTTCGTTTTCCTCTCCTGTGATACTATTCTAAGGAAGAAAATCCCAAATGACCAAATACTGTAATACTTCCGCTGTATCTAGACTGAATGTTGCCCCAAATACCGTTGCCCGTTGCCCCAAAGGGGAAGAGAACTCTAACGGGCAGACGGGCAGGTTCTAGAGGGAGGTTTGGGCCCGCATTAAGGTGGTCCGGGGACGGGGGAGGCGGCGGAGGGGAGAATTCTAGGGGAAGGATTCTCTAGAGGAGAAACCGTTTTTTTTGGGGGGGGATG